CCAATTAAATCCAATCACATGATCAATATCATTAATAAAAGATAAACACATTTAGTACTCTCATTTAAAAATCAACAGCAGTAACATCTTTTCCACAACATAGTCTGACATAATAAATTAAAGCTATGAATACAATTACAGCAGTAACAAACCAATATTTGTGATGCTAGAAGATCAACCATCAAAAATACCATAACAATTTATTAATTGCATTAAAGCTGCAAGAAAATACCTCACAGTTAAAAGTCTCATTTATCTTCAATCCTTGTCAAAGGTGTCATAAGAATTACATTCATTAGATTGGTTTTGCAAAAATATTCTGAAAAAATAAAAGGTAGAAGTCTTTAAAAAGTTATATGAAATAAATACCAACTATTTAATCAACCTTGTTCAATTTATTATTAAATGTAACCTTACCTCGCTCAATCTTCTCAAGCTTTTCAATATCATTTTGTATGGGCAATGGGGAAGGTGATCCACCAAGCCAATCTTCTGTGCATATAATTGCTTCCACAGATTTAGCAGTTCGGCAACTGCTATACTCATCGAGCACCCTTCCTCCGATACTGAGCACAGACTTAGATGCCACCGTTGAGATATGTATAGCTAATAACTCTCTCACAATGTTAGATAGGATTGGAAGTCAACTTGAATACACTTTCCTCCAATTTAAGATATAGAAGTTAGGAATATCATCTTCTAATCCATCTTCTAGATACATTGTTAATTCAGATTTCATTCCACCAGGCTTGACATCACTTGATTGCAAAAATACCCCATAATAATAGTCGGGATTTCAAATTCGTCCAACTAATACGGGTGGTTCTACAGAGTCACTTTGAGATCCACATGTCACACCACCATTATACTCCTCAAATATGGTTTTCGAATTTGATTATAATTTATCCTTCAAGAAATCAGCCTCTTTTATTGACAAAGTTTTTTTCGATAAACCAACGAGCATACACCATTTTCTTCCTAGGATCTAACACAAAAGAAATTAACAACAACATGTTCAGCTTCTCGAGACTTCCTCAATACTTATCATACTTCTCCTTCATCTTTAAAGCTATTTTTCTTGTATGAGCTAAAGATATATCCTTATACAAACACATGTCTTTTATAGCCAAACCAATTAAAAATACCTCTGCCAAGTATATATTACTTGTCACGTATGTTGAACCCGATATACGCAAAGTGGAAGCCTTAAAAACTTCCAAAAATTGAGCGACCTCGTGTGTTTTCTCCCAATCTAAAGGAGTAGGAATACCACTCCCACTCTCAAGTTCTTGACAATATTTTGTATCAATAGTACTAAGCTCAACAAATTTCATTTCAAGTTGTAGAGCAGCCTTCAACATGTCGTATGTTGAATTCCATCGAGTCTCACAATCGAATTGAACACTACCTTTGTATTCAATTTGTCTACTTTTAACACATGCCAAAAACTTATGTTCTCGACCCGGAGAAGACTTAACATACTTAACAGCACCCCTGATTCTAGAAACAGAAATGTCAATTTCTTTTAGACCCTTTTTAACCACTAAATTCATGACATGTGCACAACATCTTGTATGAAATTGATCTCCATTCAAAACCAAATCATTCCTTAACCTTAGCCTCCTTTTCAAATTTTCTATCCCACAATCCTTTGACGCCGCATTATCAACGGTCACACTCAAAACATTGTTCAATCCCTAATTATCCAAGCATTTTACAACTGTATTTGTTATTACCTCTCCTAAATGGCTTAATACTTGAACAAAACTCAATATTTTTGTGTAATTTCCAGTTGTTGTCTATAAAATGGATTGTTATGCACATGTAACTCATGTTTTAACATGAAGTCCAACCATCTGTGGTCAGGCACACGCTTCAGCAATGTTGGGAAAGAAAGCTCTTCAATTTTCCCCTTTCAAAATCCCACACAGCCAAAACATCACGTGCTACTGTGCTTCTGGAGATTGGAATAAATCTTGGTTGTAATACACTCATACAACGACGAAAAGCTTTATGATCTACATGCATATACGGAAGCTCCATTTCCACAATCATGTCAACCACTGCCTGCCTATATTTCTCTTGGTCAAATTTTCCTAGCACAATTACCGAAGGGGAAGCCACATTTGTTGTTGATGAAGGAGTTGTTTTCGATCTTTTATTAGCTTCATTATTTGGGTTGATCTTGCAAATCTTTGAATGAGAAATCATGGAAGATGTTCCATTATTGGACTTTAGCTTGGAGCCACAGTAGTTGCATTTAGCTATACCAATCAAGTCTAAATCAGGAGTGAAGTGATTCCAGACGGAAGATTTGTTTCTTCAATGGGGTGGTGCGCGAGTAAAATTAATTCCCAAGCTTTGTGTTGTCTCATCCATCGTAAGATTCGAATCAGACATTTCCTGCTTTGGAAAGACCAAGCAAATGTTAAATTAATTCAAAGAAAGATTACCATGATTTGGAAAACAAATATGTATTAATTCTGCCAGCATATGAAAACAATCACATGTGTAATTAGCAACAATCATTATTTATACATGTGGCATGATTTACACGACCAAATCATAAAACATACATGTTGCAGGATTGAAAAAAATCAACTATTAGATTTGGTTGTGAAAGGAAATAAAAGATCTAGGCTATGCTTGGAAACTCAAAATGAGGTTTCTCAAGCCTTCCCCACTCCTTTGGAAAAGGGGTGATTGACATCCAATTTTATTGTGTCAGAATTCAATCTACAACTAACTAGTCAAATCAACTATAGCAATATTATAGAGGAATTTTGACCCACTAGAGTGGAAATGCAAGAGTAAGGAGAGTAAGAGATAAATATAAAAAGGACAAAGTTTTGACTTGTGCTCTCACCCATTCCTGTTGAAAACCATAGGCCCAAATACATTTTCATGGCTTCAACTCATCTATTCCTGTAGAGTTTGTTTGCGAGTTGGTTTTTAGAAGGTAATATATAACTTACGTTGTAGCTCATAGCTTAACAACTCCAAATAGGAAAATACACAAAACATTATTTTTAACAAATAGGGGGAGAGGAAACTACATGGAGAGATGCTTGTGTCTGGGCTTTCGTATTCATCCAGGAAAAAAGGTTTTCTAGTAATCATGTTACAGATTTCAACCACCAAAATGATTGTTGATCAAGCACTATGCTTATATTGTCTAGCTGAAAGTTGTCTAATGTTACCAATCCTACGTATAAGCAGTGTGGTCCTACCAAATTGTGTGTCATGACAAGTAAGATATGACCAAAATATTATAGTTTCTTGATATTATAATGGAGGATATTTTATGTACTGCCCATCAATTTGATCAAAATTGTGGTGAAGAACCACATCGAATCAAAAGCTCTGAAAGTTGCTTCATTATTTTCATGTTTGATTGCATTGGGCCACAGACATGGTTTCCACCTGTTTCTTTATTCATTTAGAATTTGAGTCTTGTATTATAAGTAAAGATGTTCCAATATGATGAAGCTAATACATACAATTAGATTACTAAATAGGACATTTATACCAAAAGGTCGGACAAAATTCTAGCAAAATCCCATAATATTATGAAAAAGATGAGCTGATTTTAAAATAAAATGGGAAAGGGGGAATTTTTTATTAATTAGAGAGTCATTAATGACCATTTAACTATAATATGCCACTAGAGTTAAAATGCAACCATCTACATTGGTTCCTTCAAATGCAGCTACTATAATATGTCGTGCAATAATTAACTCATTGCCTTGCCATGATGACATGTATATTTGTGTTTCTTGAATCTACATATTTCACTCAAGACAACAGCCACCAAGTCTTTCAAAGTGTTTCATTTATTTATCAAGGCATCATTTCCCTAACATGTTCATTTTGACTTTGTCTAGTGAACTATCTAAGACAAATTTCTTCAAAAGTTGTTCTTAACAATGGACCCAAGAACACGTCTAGCATGTTTTGAGCAGGATGGTCTATTTGATATGTGCTTGTAGGAATATATCGACGCACACTAAGTCGTAAAACATCTCTAGTCTTTTCCTACTCTTATTCATAAAACTTGTTAGACATGTTATCTCGATTAAACATCAAACATTGCTTATAACAAAGATTCTCTAAAATGTTAATTAGGAAAGATAAATTAGCACTGAAATTAATGTCTTCAATTTCTTTTATTTCTACTTTCATTCTTCAAAATCTCACACTAGATAAACAAAATGAAAGGTAGGAGTCCGCATAACAGTCATTTGTGGGGTAAAGTAATCAAACATATTCTCAACACATAATAACAAATTCAGAACTTACATATTAATTGCAATGTCTTCTTCTCAATATTTATGTCTCAATCTCATCAATAACCATATTCATCAATGTTATTAACATTGATGAATATGCTATGAGCAACCTGATATGTTATGAGGATGGAAAAAAAATGGTGAAAATGATAAATAAATTGTTAAAGAATCAAAAGAGAAAATGAAAAATGTAGTTGAATAATTATTTCTCTATACCATATTACTTTCTTGAATGAAAGAAAAACTAAAAAATGTAAAATGAAAACAAGGAATGAATTCATTTTATTTACATTGAAAATATGATAGTATAATTAAAGAGATTAAAGATAGTTGCATGAGATGCTCTATAAATAATAGGGTACGTAAAACATTAACAAACTAAGCAACTTATAACAAATTTTAATTAACATTATTTTATATTCTATTACTATTTTCTAGTATAATTTTTTTTCTTTTTACAATTTAAAAAAAAAATGAAGTTTTGTTCGAAATAGTGGTATTGTGATAATAACTTTTTTTAGACCCTCTCTCTTCCTAAGAAGGAAACAAGTGGATTCTAAGCTTCTACGTGATGCACTCATAAATAAATAAATGTTGCTTGCAAGCAATAGTTTTGAAGGACGCAAGCAAAAGCTATAATGTAATACCAAATGCTGAGTTATTTTATAAAAACCACATCTCCTTATCATATCAAAGTACATTTATTATGCAATGTTTCTTCCTCCGTTTGCTTCCTCCACCCCCATCTCACCGGCAGTATCCGATGTATCACGCCGGAAACTAACAACAACCAGCATTCACATTATGGCCTTAGACGGAATCGTCAACGCGAATTCCCTCTTCACATTAGCACTCTTCCTCGGCATCACATCCACCAACACCAACAGCACTCTAATCGGAGACAACCCTGCCTGCATAGCTGGACCCTCAGTCGCGGAAAGCCTCATGGCCTACCATGTCTACTCCTTCAGCTCCTTCCTTTTCTCAAGCCTCATCGCTTTGGCTATCAAAAACGTTATCAGCATCAGCAAAGGCATTGATGGAGCTGTTGCTACCAATAACTTGGTGCGTGGTTATGAGTTAACTGGGGAAGTTAACACTGTTGCTTTGAGGCTTGGAACTTTGGTTTCGGCTTTTGGATCGGTTTTTGGATGTGGGTTTTTGGTTATGGCTTTGGTTGATTTGGTGCAGATTAAGTTGGGAACTTTGGCTTGTGGGAGTCATCATACTTTGTCTGCTATTGCTCCCCTGCTTATTCTTGTTCCTTCTGCGTTACTTATCTATGTTATTCTTGTTCTATATGCTTTTACTCGTTAATGTTATAATTACAAGCATGTCTATATAAAGATGATGTTTATAGCGTTGTTAATAATCAAGGAACTAATCAAATACATGAGATTGAATGAATGTATTTCATTCTCATATCATTCAAGAACTTCTAAGAAGCTGTCGATAACCAGCGCAAATTGCATTGATTGAAAATAGCTGTGAAGTACACATCACATTTGAAAAATAAGAGAATCTCTGTTATTACAGAGCTCTAACAATGTAGATACAAATATATAAGCAGCACTCTCATTCAACACCTTCTTTATGCAAGGTAATGATTTTCTTTTCCTTCTATAACAATTTGTAGATTGTAGATAAGATGGATGAAACTGAAAAAGAGCATTAAGATCTTTCACATCAATCAATTTCAACACCAAAACCTTGCCTTCATCAAGGGAGAACTCGTTGATAATAAACAGTAAATGTCAATCCTCAATCTACTAACTAGCCAGCACTGAATCCCGCAATGCACCCAAAACTTGAATGACTGCAGCCATTTGTTGTACGCCCCGGCTTTTCCAAATGCATCATGTCTCCAAGGAGCAACTAATGTGTCCATGAATGCGAAGAGAAAAACAATGAAGTTTCATTAAAAGCAAATTTTTTAAGCTGGTACTACATAGAGAGGGGAACAGAGTAAAGATTAAAACCTCAGCGTGCACCAAATATCTCTTGTGGTGGATCATAGATACTGGAATCAGGAAAGATTTCTTCAAAATCTTGTTTAACTTTGTTTCTCAAAAGAGGATGTGGCAGGAGCCCTTTCAACAAAATTCTGAACGGCAGTTCCTCTGGTGGATCCGGAGAATTCTTCATGTCCTCATATATGTTCATCGCGTCTGCAGGAGATCCACTGCTCAAGAAGCCTCTTATGACTTCAGTATAAGCCTGTGAATCAGGGAACAGATTCTCTTTCTTCATGCTTTCCCACAATTGCAACACATCATCCATTCTTTTAGCCCTTGCCAACGCAATAATTAAGTCCTTATACAAGAATATATCAGGCTTGTACCAATCCTGCTTTTGCATCACCTTAAACACCTGCAAATCAATATAAGTCATTCGTATATTGAGTAGTAATATATTTTCACATTCTTAAAGCATAGCTTATATTGAAATTAAACTATCACAATAATTTTAAAAAAAAAAAAAAAACAGGTTCTCAGAAGCATTATAACAAACAGGTCACATGCATCTAACATAAAATAAAAAATGCACAACAATTTGAAGAGAGTGAGAGAAAAAACCATGAGAGCGAGAGAAACTTCCTGTTGGCGCTCAAGTTCAGTGAGAACAGCAATCAAGTCCATCTTCAAGAGTCTTAAAACATGAGTTTTGATAAACTTGGGAAGCTTATCTTCATCATCTTTGAACCTCTTCAACCCAGAGATGACAAAGAGAGCTTCTTTTCCAATGAGCTTCTTTCCCCTCCAAAGGGGGCCCCTTGGTCTTCCGTCGTGATATTCCCTAAAACCGCCACATGTGTTTTTGTATTCAAACGCTGTAACAGTTTGTCTCAAAGACAATGGAGTTGAAACGTCTCTGATGGGGTTGCTACTTTTTGTTGAATTTGAGGTAAAGTGTCTGAGGAATAGTGAAGCTAAACAATGTGTTCTCCATTTTCTAGCGAAACACCGAATTGACATCTCAGTTCTGAAATAATAAGGTTAAGGCGGAGACGCGACTGCATGTAATGTTTGCGAAAATGGGATGGTTGAGGAGTGAAAGTGAAGAAATTTTTACCATAAATGAAGGGCAATTTGGTATTTTCCCATATAAGGGATTTGTTTAGAAGCATTCTAACACAACAACACTTTTCGGTAGAGATGGCAACGGGGCGGGTCGGGGGCGGGTTTAACTATACCCACACCCGCACCCGCCCCCAAATCCAATCGAGGGTGAAAATTTACCACCCAGACCCGCCCCCAGTAGAAAACGGGTGCACCCGCACCCGCCCCGCCCCCACCCGCAAATTTTTTTTTTTATAATTATAATAAAAATTAGTAATTTAATTAAAAAATTAATTATTTTAATAAATTAATTAATTATTTAATTAAAATTTTAATTATTAAATGAATATTAACTTGATTAATTTTATTATTTTAATTGCAATAAGAATATTAATAACTTAATTAAAAGTATAATTAATAAATAAATATTAAAATAAATAAAATAAGGAAATCAAAATAAAATATATTACTTGGGGCGGGGCGGGGGCGGGGGCGGGCGGGTCTTAGTGTCTACCCGCACCCGCACCCGCACTCGTAGTTAAGAACCGGGTTTCACCCACACCCGCACCCGCACCCAATTAAATCGGATTTCCCCCGTTAATTTCGGGGCGGGCCCGGGCGGGTGTGGGCGGGTCCGGGTTTGTTTGCCATCCCTACTTTTCAGGCAAGAACAAATTTTGTTTTTCTCTCTCATTGTAACCATGTCATTATCAACAGAAACATTGATTCTGAGAAAGATGAACTACATGACAATTTCACATAATCATCATAGTGATGGGTCGTTATAAGGGAGGAAGTATTTATATTAGACCAAACATTCATTTAAAAATTAAGAAAATGTTTTAATGCACTCTATGTTGCTCTGTGAAATTCTACACATATCTCTTATTTTCAGAGATAAATCTTCGGACGCACCTCATTTCTAAATAAACATTGATATATTTCAGAAATATATTTTCAGAAAAATTTAAACTTTAAACATGCAGAACATGTCACACTAACTCATTTACATTTAATTTGTTTCGGCGATGCATATACGAGAATATTTCGGAGATACATCTCTGAAGTATATTAGAATAGGTTTTTTTTATAAAGAGTTTTGTATTTGTTTTCAGATGAAAATACAAACGTATAAATTAATAAAAGACTAATATTGTGTGTGTCGAAAATAATATAACAATATAATAGTACATAATGAGATCCAAAATGCAATAACAATGTCAGAAATAAAGCGCAAACTATAATACAACATCAGAATAATAACAGACTACTACTGGGTGTACCTGACAACCTCTCATCTACCTCTTTTGTCTACTCTGTCCCCTCGCCCATCGATCTCTCTTCCATCCTTCGACAACTCCGCCGGTAAAATAGTGCCCCTATACCTCCAGCACTATGGCATCCAGGACTCGTATACAGCAGACCCCTCAGGAAAGATACCTTTGTCAATGTCATCCCGCACAATCTCAACTATGCGACAACGCCGAGACAAGACATCCTCAGTATGATCTACCTAAGTTTGCTCCTCCTCTAGAACCTCCTGATGAGCTGGTCTCGGTGGATCTCCTGGAGCAGTTTGCACCATATATGGGTCCTCTTATTTATAAAGTGTTCAACCTCCACTTTTCTAAGCAATGTTAGACATAGAACTCACATTTGTTTCTCAACACAACTCACACTTGTTTCTTAACACATAGCAGGTATGCAATGTGGATACATTATCATTAGCAGTTGTAAAAGCATGGCTTTATAGTATGTACAAAAACACAAACTTTATGGCTATATACTAACATCTGCAAGAGCAAAGCAATATCAACATTTGAAATGCAATTACTTTATCCTTTTGGAACTCAAAAATGCGCAAAGGTGTAGAATGGACAAAGGATTTTCATTCATGAAATTAAAAAGCATAATTTCTCTGTATGTTCATCTCTAACATAACTTGAAAAATACATGAAATTAGTTTTGTTAAAAACAACACCACAACCTTCATGTGGTTTTCCTGTAACTTACTATGAAGCTAATGGATCTTACTATGAGATATGTATTGGATTCGACTTATACTGATGAATCATTAAGTGACTTTAGTTCACCAGTTCTATAGATTGCAAAACACGCCAATACAAAATATTATTTTTAACATTAGCTTATCTGAAGCTAATGGATCTTTTTTCGAATACCAAAGGCTCATCGTCATAAATACAATTAAGCATGTGGCCATCTAAAATTAGATTTTCACCAAATTCTTTTATTTTTTTCAATTTCAAGTGTATATATGCCGCAATTCAAGTCAATGTGCTCGACTCGGGCATTATTATTATTTGGCTTGAACCACCCACTAATTGAGGTGGCATCATCATCATTCAAATGCCCCTTGTCCTCATATTCCCACATGGACATGTGGGTAGGATATAACTTCATTGAGTATAACACATCTTCTTGCAAAGAGAATCATGTCCCAGCAGGCAAACATGGTGAGGTATTCGCCAATTGTTTGTAAAAAAAATCTTATCTATATGATTAACCTCAATCAGAAAATAACTTTGATCAAACTCAACATTTTCTACAATGCCATCTGATCTCTAGATTGGAATACTCTAGTGCAAAATTGAGGGTACTACCCCCACACCATGGGTTCATTCTTGTCCTAGCAATAAGTTATATTTTTCTTTGGAAGAAATGACCATATATAATGTTGGTCTCGCAGTCGTACCAACAACAATATCAACTTAAATCACTCACAAGGATTTTCTCATATTTCCTTCATAATTCGACAATACCATATTATGAGGTCTTAAATTTCTATCATACTTGCCAACCTTCCTCAATAAGGAATATGGCATTAGGTTTATGGTAAGTGGTTTTCGTATCGTTATTTCAAATCATTTTCTCTTAGTATTTCATCGCATTTAGTTCATTTACATCTGTTTACCATGTTTTACGCTTTGGTTGTGTGTTCTTGCTATTTTCAAGGCATAATGAGCATCTAAGACAGAGAGGGATCAAAAACAAGAAAAACAAGGAAAAATGACAAAAGTCAAGTTTTCCTCATAGTAAAATCAAGGGGATGTTGCGGCCACCCATAGTAGATGCTACGCGTCGTAGCACTAGAGGCGCCTAAGGTTTCCCTTGAATCATCTCCAATACAATTAATTACCAAAGGCCTGCTTTTGTCAATCTTTGGAAGAAATGACCACATATAATGTTGGCTTCAAGAATTTAGTCAATCTTTCCTTTAATGGAGTACAACTCCTCTCTGAAGGCAGTTTTCTCTTGTTGAATTTGCTCCATCATGCGTCTAGTGTTGGCTCAAGTTGCGTATTGGTGTCGAGGAATCAGCTTGATTTACTAGATAGAAAGGAAGGAGAAATGATATTCTGTTGTCAAACGAGATGCAAGATGCATAAATGATGCAATGCAATGCAATTATATGCATGCAAGATGCAAGATCCAGGATCATAGGTTCGAACAAATTCTAAAGTTGGTCACTGTAACAGGTAAATAACCAAAGTCTCTGATCAAAGAAAACTTTATAGGTAGACCCTATACGGGAAGATTTATATTCTTTACCCATAAACCCATTCACGGGATGGTTTCTACATTGATAGATATGGTTCCCTGGATCATGGATACTAATCGCATCAACGTCATGCAACACGTTAGCTGCATTACGATGATAATAACGACAATGCCTCTCTTGAGCAGAGTCCTCATGTTAGGCTCACAAGGAGCGAGTCCTTGGAGACTAACACTACACGGCCACCAATATAGAACTGGTGCTAAAGGGTTGAATCACGGACCCTTCATGAATCAAGTCATGCAACAGGCTAGTTGTGTTACAACAAGATTTACGAATAGGTATCCTCTAGGGGAGCTTTCATGCTAGGCACACAAGGAGAGAGTCCTTGGGGACCAACACTACTCGACTAATAATTCTAATCAAGGTGTTCCCTTTGCTTTTACCAAATCTCGGTCGTAGAGCTTTAATCATGATGAAATTCTGGCAAGTACACGATGGATGTTATTACCAAAGTTATAACATCCACTGTGACATTGACTATTGTACTAACTAATTAAACTGTAAGTAAAAGCAGTAAATAACACAACAATTATTCACCCAGTTCAGTGTCAACAACACCTACATCTGGGGGCTACCAAGCCAGGGAGGAAATTCACTATCAGTAGAATTAATTTAGAGTCAAACAACTCAGTTTGCACTCCTCACTTAAAACCTACCCAATGACACTTCAACCTAGAGACACTCTAGACCTGAGTATTCCCACTCACTCCCCCTCAATCACACCACAGTGATATCCAATTATAGTTACAAAATAAATATGAAGAAGCACTTTATACACACCTTGATCTTGCTTCAAAGCTTTGATCAAGGAACACACACACTCTTGCTTAAAAGCTTTGAGTGAGACCCAACTTATAATCTACCTAACCAATGCAGCAGACAGTTGCTTGGTAAAAAAGTATTCCTAAAACTCAATTCACACGTGAAGAACACACTTTATGCACTCACAATTACTCACGTGAAGAACAACCTTCTTCACTCACAAGGACTCTTAATTTTCACTTTCTAATCTTCTGTCAAGAGATGCTCTTCTAGGATTGCTCCTTCTGATATTTATAGCAGCAGTCAGTCCTTTGGGCCTTGGTGCACACAGGTAGGTTTAATCATAACAAACCCTACTCTTCAATTCTCTGCCCGCTTGTCATTTAATTCAGGAGCATTTGTTTCGCTTTATGGCTTCTCAAATGTCTCTTATCTTTCAGCTTGAGCTCCTAATTTGTTTCCTGATTTCTAGATACCAGAAAAACTAACTTGCTCGCTGGATGTCATACGGTAAGTGTCATGACATTCTGTATGACATTCAGCTTAACTTATAGTTAACTTACCCTGCACACAC